TATATATTATATATATATCCCTTCATAGCCCTTTTCTTAAAAATTCATGTTCTTCTGCAGTGTCATCCTTTTGCAGAAATTGTGGCCTGAATTTTCACTCAGTTTTAAATTCTTAAACTAGTCCTTGACCTGGGATGTGCAGGCTTCGTCAGAAAAGGTATATAGTTCCGGAGGAGTATCATGGAAGGTCTACATATGACAGTACTTGTAGATTGGGTCTTTGGGCTCTTCCATTCAAAGATTTTCGTATTCCTTATTAGTCAAAAAACATTATTCTTTTGTGACTTTTTTTTTTTTTTTACTGTAGCCTATATCTCCCTGTGATGTGTATGAATGCTGAAATGTCTCGGCTGTCTAAAACACAGCCTAGAGGTGCATCAGTTTCCAGGTGTGTTGCAATAATTAGTTAGGAGCCAACTGGACCAGCTGATGATGTTGCCCTTATTTTGATGGGGAGGACTCGTTATTGCAGTGTATGGATTTCTCCACCAAATGCTCTTTTAATTATTTCTCAAAAAATGCTTTCTTAGAGATTTTATTTATACGTAACTTTTTAACCTTGATTTCCCCCAACCCACCAAATACTGTGAATTGTGTTTCCATTATTTTTCTTGCTAATCTAACTTTATTCTTGGCTATTGAGGTCCTAGATGTTTAGGTTTTCTGTGGCATTGCTTACGAGCTTTGTACTGTTTGAGAAAAAAGGCCAAAATCATGCAGAGACACCACACTCCTTTATCCTTGTTTGCGACAGAATAGCGAAGTTAAACATTGTACATGATTAAAGAATTGATAACGTTCAGATATGGCTATAAACATACCTGTCATTTTCATTTTAGGGATAGTAGTACGACTGGCAGCTTTAATGGAGGAGCCAGTGTTGGCTTCCTTTCCTGGCACTAGGATGTAAGTCATAAAATTATTGATACGGTACAAGTTTCATAGCAGAGCTCATGGAATTCAGCACATCCATTTGCCTGTTGTCTGTGTGTGTGTGTGTGTGTGTGTATGTACCTTTTAGCCTTTTTTCCCTATTCCCGTTTCCTCTGAGTAGCACTGATTTTCTGCCGAAGTTGGAATTTGTGTTAAGAGTTGACTTTTAATTTCTGATATAATTGAATATTAAGAATAGCTTTGATTGCTATGGAATGATTGATANAACCGGTCCTCAGTCTCTTCCGGTGGCCCTTGGTCTCCAAACTGCATGCCACTGACTCCCACCTGGCCAGGAAGGAGAAAGTTAGGTGGCAGGAAACAGGTTCTGGGGCACCCTTTCTCTGAACCCCCATTCATTCATGAGCTCTTTCGCTTGGGTTTGGGGGGGGGGGGCGCCTATTTTCCCAGCCTGCCATCCCGTCTCTCATCCTATCTTCTCAAGGTTTACAGATGACAGGTTCCTCTCCAGTGAGACAGACACTGCGGAGCCAAGTAACTGTGGACTTCCAGGGACAGGCTCCTGACCCAATCTGTCCCAACGCATGGGGGGAGCCCACTTACCGCCGTCGCTTCATCCCACTTGTCTTTCAGCAATTTATATACATCACTGGGGAGGAGGTTTGCTGTGGGGGAGGAGGGAGAGAGGCTGCTTCAGTGGTGTAGCTCAGAGTGATCTGGTAAGGGACAGAGACGGCCTCAAGGAGGAGGGGCTGTATCTCAGTCTCCTGAGGGGTAGCTCTCTTGGGTGGCCCTGGGAGGGGAGTAGCTTGACAATTCTTAGGAAACTGAGGGACCCATCCCCGTGGCTCCTGAACCATCACCCCCTGCCCCAGTCCCACCCCACATAGGGCTCGGTCCCCGCTTTGTTCCCAACTCACTCTGGATACTGATTTCTTGGATTGCCAATGCATGGATTCCCGGAACGCCAGGCACCAGCTGTATATGGCACTGATCTTGATTTGGGTCGAAGGTAGATTTTGCTGCTCGGCACAGAAGTGTGGCCAGTTTGTCACCTAGAGGAGGGCTCTTCGACTGTTGTGGGAGATCAGAGGTGAATCTTCAGGGATTTTGACGGCAGCCTAGGCTTGTGGGGCTGCCCTTTAGAGCTAAGGTCAGGAGAATGCTGTTGCCAGCCTGAACCTATTCCCTTCTCCAGCCTCAACTGCGGCCATTTCCAGGCCTGCCAGGAGTCACAGGTTATGTGCTATTCTCCAGGACCAAAGTTTACAGGCTATTGGGTGGGGGGGCTTACCGCACTGAGTGGGATTCGCCCCCGTGGGTTCGTGCCTATTGAGACTTTTGGGTGTGCCACTTGTCGGGTCAATTGGGTGGTGCTGTTGTGGTCTGAAGCCAACCTCCAAGTATGTTGATTCTAGGGCCTCTTGGGAGGGGCTCTGGTGCAAGCCCAGGTTCACCCACTGCCTGTGACTGGCCACAGACTACCTGCAGGAGCTACAAAGTGATCTGCGGTTGTTCGCTGCCTGTATTAACCCTGGAGGCAGGTGGGAGGGGCCACACTGCAAACTGAGGACGGCTGCCACCAGTACCGGGCTTGGGGTAGCCCTGCAAAAAGCCAGGACACTCCGAGGCCTGCTGCCACCTGCTGGCTCCCTTAAGCTTCAGTCCCTGATAAAGCCTCGTGGGGTACANGACAGAATAGCGAAGTTAAACATTGTACATGATTAAAGAATTGATAACGTTCAGATATGGCTATAAACATACCTGTCATTTTCATTTTAGGGATAGTAGTACGACTGGCAGCTTTAATGGAGGAGCCAGTGTTGGCTTCCTTTCCTGGCACTAGGATGTAAGTCATAAAATTATTGATACGGTACAAGTTTCATAGCAGAGCTCATGGAATTCAGCACATCCATTTGCCTGTTATCTGTGTGTGTGTGTGTGTGTGTGTGTACCTTTTAGCCTTTTTTCCCTATTCCCGTTTCCTCTGAGTAGCACTGATTTTCTGCCGAAGTTGGAATTTGTGTTAAGAGTTGACTTTTAATTTCTGATATAATTGAATATTAAGAATAGCTTTGATTGCTATGGAATGATTGATACTCATTTTTTTCTTAAATAAAAATAATGCAGCCTTATAAACGTCTCTTTCCCTGAAGAACATGAATTTAACTCAAATTCCAAATGTCCAAATCTTATTCCCAGTCATAGCCAGTGATAAAATCCTCTGACAATAGCTTCCGTAGCCCTTAACCTAAGGAGTTATTAGAGGTTATAGTAAATCAGATTTTTCCAATGGTGCAGAGAGAGATCCCCTGGGGGAAACCGTATCCCTGGATGTCTTTTTCTGTTAGGTAGAACTCTAAAGTTATAGATCTTGAACTCTAGGAATCCCAATTCAAAACTTAAAAACACTAGAATCAAAGGGTAATTCTAGTTTGTCTTCCACATTAGAGTCATTATTTGGAAATGAGGTTTGCTAAGATACCCTCATGTCCTCAAACACTTCCTGGCTTGATCAAAAACAATGTTATACAGATGTCACCTGAGAGCTATAGGGTCAACAGCAAAAAGGGGGGGAAATACTTAGTAGGGAAGGTGACCAGTTGTAAGATATCACTTAAAATGGTGAAATAATTCCCCTTTCCTTGTATCTGTGCTTCACACAGTCTCAATGAATAGTAAAGGTTTGTGCGCAGTGTCCTATTTTGCCTGTCTCTGGCATTTTTACTTGGAGATAATTGAGCCTCAGGAACAGAGCTAGAGAGGAGAATGGGGATATACTAGCGAAAGAAAAAGGAGTTTTTTGCTCATGGATCCGAAGGCCCGCAAAACTAAATGAAAAAGAAAGCTCTTCATTTCCAACCCTAAATTAACGTTATTAATGCCGTGCTGGGAGGAGACCATCAGAAGGGGTCAA